AAAAGTTCTAACTAAGCTTTAGTATAGGAAGCTGGGAAATGTGCAATATCCTAGCATGTTTTTAGTATTATTATTACTGCTACCTGTTTTAGCTGTGAGGCATTTTGGGGGGATGGGAGAGGGGGGAGGGAGTTACTTTTTTTAAACCCACAGGGCGGTAATGCAAATCCAAACCTGAGCTCCCTCAGCCTTCTTCTCAAACAACTGAGCCAGTCTAGCAATTATGAATTTTGAATAAGAGATTATGCTTGCAAGACAGAATGTATAATGTACAATTATTTTTATGTATATACATATAGTCTTGCTAAATTACAAGAGTTTTCTTTAACTGTTTCCTCCTTCCAGGAATCATACCTGTGTACCTACTGCATATATATATATATTTATGTATGTATATATAAATATAAATGCTTATATAATACATATATATGTATTATATATATATATATATATATATATATATATCTTTTTTTAAGGAATTTAAGTAGAAGTAAAACTTTCGGGTGCTTTTTAAACTGACTTGCTTTTTATGTAGATTCATTTTCTCTGAAACACATGAATTGAAAAAAAAAAAGAATAAAAACTGAATTTTTTTCTTTTCAAATGATAAAATGAAAATCAAAGCACACTTTAAAGGGACTGGAAGGCAGGTCTGGATCTTCTCACTCATAGAATAAAAGAGTCGTCTAACACACTGACTGCTTTGATAAAATTCATGTCCCGCTAATTACTGGGGAGACAATAACTTTTAAAAGCATGTTTTATTGAGGGTTTCCTGTGTGTCAAACATTATGCAGAGTCATGCATGTGCCTTCGCTCATTTAACCTTAACAGCTGTTCTGTGCTGCAGGAAGTATTACAATCCTTACATCACAGCTGAGGAAACTGAGGTTGAGAGGCATTAACTTACCCCAGTGAGATCTGAATTTGGAGGGTGAAAGTGGAGAAAAAGAAAGAACAAACAGATGAGAAGCCTTCCATGCCCCAGAGGTGGTGGAGCAAAGGGCACTGCAACCTCTGGGTCCGCAGGTGTTAAATAGGGCAAATCAGGGGTTAGGAGGCTTACTGTATGGTTTTCGTCCTTCCTTTTTCCCTCTGAACCCTGTTGAAAACAGAGCAAGGCCAAACACCAAAAACAAGAAGAGCCAGACTCACAATCCCTCAAGCTCCCTAACTGAGATGTAGAAAATGACCCCTTCCACTGTCCATCTCACCAACCTCCTACCACCAGAGCCTGATAATACACAAATGCAAAATAAAAGCAAGGATAAAGTAGCATCCATTGACATCACTAGTGAAACAGGTAACCACGGTAGGTCAGTCCTTTATCATCTGGCCAAGTTCTGAAGGACAAGGTTTGGCCTTGATGTTGAGACTATATATACCAATACTAGTTGTTCAAACATTGAAATACTTCTATATTCCCCCACAGATCATGGGGGACCCCCATCCCCAGACATCTCATGATCAGGCAAAAGAAAGGTGAATGCCTGGCTCTGGTGTCTCCAAGACCCTGCTCCAGCTCCGTTACCCACCTGCTGTCTGTTGTGATGGATAGCGCCTACATCAAAGATTGTGACTACCATCCTTAGAGCGTCCAGCCTCAGCATGTCTTTGGCAGATAGCCAACAGATTATGCAGGGCACTGCAACCTCTAGGTGACACCTTCCATTCCATATGGTAGTCAGGACAATTATAGTGCTTTAGCCACTCAAGGAACACGAGATAATCTCTTCACAATTCTAATTAACCCCAAACTCATTTTCAAATGTACCACTATGCTTTCTAATGGGCAATTAAGAATCTGTTTTATGAATTTGCTCAGCCTTCCTTTTAAAGGCCATAGAGCAAAGTTCTATAACTTTTAAGTGAGATCTGATATTTGAGAGATTTTTAAATTATATAAAGCATTTACTTTTCCTCCAGACAAGCAGATGCAGATGTACCCTTGGGGCAGAGGGCAGCAGGTACTTTTCAAAGTCAGGGTCAAAGGCCTTCTCTGCTCAAGGACAGGAAGTCAGACTAGATGGCCTCTCAAGAGCCTTCTGTCTTTCCTTTCCCTTTCTTACAATCCCACTACACGCAGGTGAAAACGCTGAAAATTTTTCATGGCATATAAGAAACTGAAAAGAAATGTATAAATGTGGGTTAAGCCAGCCAGGGCATCAGAGACAGACTTGTCCAGGATTATGTCATTGAGGTCTTTCTACCTTTTAGGTAACAACTGGATGAATTTCTCAAAATGCAAATGAAATAAAATTAAATTCCCAAACCAGCAAAAATTTACACAGGCCAACAGGATTGTGCTAACTATCTATCACACTTTTCATGTTCTTTCACGAACCTTATCTCAGTGGTTTCAAAGTGTGGTTCCCCAGAACAGCGGCAATAGCCTTACTCAAGACCTTATGAGAAAAGCAGATTCTCAGGCCCCACCTAAGACCTTCTGAATCCAAAACTGAGGGTGAAACCCAGCCATCTGTTACCAAGCCCTCCAGGTGTTTCTGATGTGGGCTTAAGTGTGAGAAGTGCTGCTTTATCCTATTGGCTACTCCGAACTAGTAGATAAAATAGGTAGAAAATGTGGCATTCTCAGTCTTGCACAAGAGGCAGGCAGCAAAAATTGAGAGAGTTTAACTGATTAACCTAAAGTCACACAACTGACCCACAAAAGAACAAGCAGCTACACCCAGCCTTTTGGACTGAAAATCTAGCTGTCTTTCATCTTCAACACACAATCTCACTAAGATGCAATATAAATAGCTAAGTCACCTAAACTGGCTTGATTCTAGAAGGAAGAGTAGAGGGGTGACACCTGGGGAGGATGCAGGCAGCCTAAGAAAGTTTGGGTCCCTCTTCGTCCACAGATCACCATGGAGGCCAAGAGAGCCAAGGACCCTGCAGGACGGTTCATCATAACCCAGATACTGTGACTCCTGGGTGCAATCTGGGTTCTTCCTTATAAAAGATCAGAGGTTCTACTGCTCAGAGGGAGCACTTCTCACTTTCTTCAGGTGGTGTCTCACTAGTGAGTGGGCTCTCCATTCCTCGCATTGCATCACTCATAATCTCTGTATCGACAGCGCTCTTGATCATTTTCTGTCTCCTCCACCTAGCATGTCAGTTCTGTACCAGCAGGGGCTTTAGTCTGTTTTCCTCACCACCCCAGGATCTAGCCCAGGGCCTGGCACTGGAAGCTGGGGAAGACATATATGTGACAAATGCAAATAATAAGAATCATCAAATGTGTTTCCACAGAAGACGGTCATTTGTAAAGTGACACCGGATATTTTCTTCCAAACAAGATATTCTGGAGAATTATTTAAAATACAGTTAAAAATCATCACCATGAATAAATCCTGAGCTTATGTTGGAATACCTTTTTTTTTTTTAATTCTGCCAAGTCTTTTTCTCTTTACCTTCTGCCTTTCATTCTTTCTCAGTAAATCCATCATCACGATAGTGCTCTATTCAAGAATCTCAAGATGGACAGGATGGTTTTATCTGTTGTTAAACTGCGTTTTCCTTTTTGTTTTCCCTTGACACCAAGTATTTAATCTGTGTCTGAACTTACTGTTTAGATTCTATTCCATTTACAAAAAACATCCGGTCATTAGATTGGAACAGAAGGAGAAAACCGTCAAGTCCACCGTAAAAGGATGCATGCCTACGTCCTTGGGTAGAGCATTTAATAATTGGCATGAGCTTTCAAGGAAGCTGTGGCTCATACTCCAAGTCCCATTTGCACTTCCAAGTGGACAAAATATACACACAGACCCACTCAGCTAAGTAATTGGATTCACTACCTGGAATATTTAAATTGTTTTCAGACACTGAAAAATGGCTTAAGAAGATTAAAGAAAAATACCCTGGAGGATAATAGGCTATAATTTACTAGGTGGAAAATCTTTTCAGCAAGAAGTACGACTCAGTCTCCTGTAATTCCCTCTGTTTAAGGAGATGCCTTAGTACTTTGAACCTGAATTTCCTTAGATTCTGGAAGCTCAGGCTTACTCAAGTGGGTTACTCTTGTCAAACTTTTTGAATGACACAACACAAACTAATACGGTAATGTCCTCCATCTGAAGATTCCTGTGTTTTCAGCAAGATTAATTTCAGTGTTTAACGGCAACTGCAGAGTGGGGGGAAGGTCGTGGACCACTTGAAGTCTTGGGGTCCAGGACTCATGTGAAACACTGGAGATCTGGGGCTGGGCTAAGCTTTGCCCCACCTGGCAAAAGATGTGGGTAAATTGTGGGGGACGGAGCGGATGGAAAGGAAATTATTGACAGATGTATTTCAAGTTGAAGCCTCCAGCCAGTTCAGTTCTCAAAAACCAGCCCTCCCCGTTTGCCTGCAGACCCACTTAGCCTCCTGGACCCCTCAATGCCCCTCCTTCTACTCTCCAGCCCTCCTCGGGTGTGTCCTCCCAGCCCTTCTCAGGGCCCCTCGCTGCGGAGCCAGACGCTGAAGTTTGGCATCAACGACCACCTGTCGGCTGGACCGCGGCCGCTTCTGCCGCGTGGGCTCCTAGAAAAGCTGCAGGAGGGTTAGCAGTCACTAGAGAGTTTCGGACTTCGCAGCTGTTCCTTCTTGAAAGAGGGCAGGGAGGTAATAGGTGTTCGTCTGCGAGCGGAGAGGGGCGCGTCGTGTTCACACCCCAGCGCTTTCCATCTGGTCCCAACTTCACACTACACCACTTTCCAAACTCTCAGGACCCGCCGCAAGGCAAAGCCTGCCCTCCCTACTCCATTGGTCCCAAACCTAGAAGACCCTCAAAGGGCGCCTGCCAGACCCAGGAGGGGTGTCAGCCTAAGCCGGGAGAACACAGGAGCACGCGCAAAGACCCTGCCCTCCGCCCGCCGCCTGGGAAGTCGCCAACCTGTGCCCAGGAGGCCGCCCCTCCGGTTCCCTGTGCGCCCATTGCATAACGCGCCCCTCGCCCCACCCCCCTGCCCATGCCCCCGCCAGCGCCCCGAACCCGGCCCCCCAATACTTACATCATCCCACTTGACGAATTTTGTGCCCTTCTTGAGGCTGTCGGACACACACACGGGCTTGAGTTGCAAAGCGTGCACTCCGGGCTGAGCCCCGGCCATCTGGGCTCATCGGGGCTCCGGGCGGCCCGGGCGAGCGCGGCAGGGGACCGGGCGCGGGGCGCGGGGCACCGGCTCCTTTCTCTGCTCCGGAGGTGCTCGACTTAGCTCCTCCGCCGGCCTCCCCCGGCCTCCCGGCCTCCGCACCTCCTCAGGCGCGGCTCAGCAGGCGGAGCACGCGGGGGCCAGGCGCCCGGCCATGCCCCGGGCGGGACGCGGGGTCGGGCGCCCGCGGTGACTGCGGAGCCTCAGCGGGCGAGGAGAGGCAGAGCCAGGCAGCTGAGGCTGCCCGCTGCCGCCGGATACTGCTCCTCCGCCGCCGCCGCCTCCGAGCGCACCATTCAGCACATCCTCTATACACAGAGGGAGAGGGAGAGTGACACACGCTCGGCGATCCCCCCCC